GGGAGCTGGGCCTCCCGCGAGAGCTGTGAAGCAGAGCGAGGATTTGAGGGGCGGACCCGAGGAGCGGCCGCCGGAGTTTAGTTTAGTCGAGTTGGAGAAGGAAGGTGCGCCAAGAGGCAGCATGCCGACGGAAGAAGCATCGGAGAGTGAATATAGAGGAAATGAACGATCCGCGCCCAGTAGCAAGGAGTGGCCGGATGAGTTGGAGGAGGAACTGCATGAGTTCCTAGAAGCGGAACAGGCATTATTTGAAGACATCAGAGATGTGCGTCACATCTCTGAGCATAGCATCCGGATGAAGGACGACAAGCCTTTGAAGCAAAGGTACTACCCTAAGAATCCGGCTATGCAGAAAATGATCGACGAACAGGTGGACGAACTACTTCGAGCTGGGGCTATTGAACCGTCAAAAAGCCCATACAGCGCACCCATAGTCTTCGTCAAGAAAAAGATTGGGGATTGGCGCATATGCGTAGATTATCGACAACTCAATGCCCACTCGATCCCGGATGCGTACCCTGTTCCGCGGATCCTTCACATTTTGGAGAGGTTGCGCCAGCACAGTTCATATCCACGCGGTTACTGGCAGATCCCGATGGCGGCGGATAGTAGGAGGACTGTTCCAATGGAGAGTGATGGCGTTCGGTTTGCATTCGGCGGGAGTGACATTCCAGAGAGCACTGGATACAGTCATTGGGCCCGACATCGAGCCTCACGCGTTTGCGTACATAGATAACATAGTGGTCATCGAAGGGACGAAGGAGCAGCATGTAGCCAACCTGAAGGAAGTTTTCCGGCGGTTGAGGGCGGCCAAGCTAAGGGTCAACAGGAAGAAATGTAGTTTCTTCCGGGAGAAGTTGGCATATCTTGGCCACATGATAAGCGGCGAGGGGATTTGCACTAATCCTGCGAAGGTTGAGGCGATCCGGAGCATCCCATCACCTTCGAATCTCAAGGAGCTGCGGCAATGTCTTGGAATGGCATCCTGGTACAGACGTTTCGTACCAAACTTCGCGTCGCTGGTACAACCGATGACGAAGCTCCTGAAGAAAGGTCAGAAGTGGATCTGGAGCGAGGAACAGGAGGAGGCGTTGCAGAAACTCAAGGAGAGTTTGAC